CCACTTAGGACAGTCGTAGCAGGGTGAGGAGGAGACGCACCAACGAGCGAAACAGTGGGAGACTTACCTGCTGGCTCGGGGAAGGCTCGTAGTGAAGGCAAAAGTAGCTAGGAGCAAGGCAGTGAAGTGGAATACCCACTTGATAGAGGGCCGTTTGGTTCGGGTTAACAGTGCTGTCTGTGGCATGTTGCGAGCCGACGGTACTGAACAGATAAAGAGTGGCATTACGGTGTCAAACAGCGGAAGGCATCAGTGAGCTAGCCATACGGGTACCTACTTATGTTTCAGATACCGAATTCTCTCATACAGTTGGGAGTGGCGGCTAGAACGCCGGAGGGCACTTACCTGGGGCTGACTCATTGCCACTCCGTTGTGCACAGACAGTCGTTACCGCATCACTCGGCTGTGCACAGACAGTCGTTGCTGGATCATTTGCCTGTGCACAAATATTCACAGTCGGGCCACGTGGTTAAGCCTGACAGATAGTGTTGGGTCTCTTGATACTACACGACTGCTGCGGTTACTATTGGCCGCCACTGAAAATTGCTGTTGCGGGCTGGGCTCGAGCTGCTACCATTGACCCCTACTGTAGGCTGCTGCTGCTGCGCCAATGGACTGTGTGCGGACTGCAGTGGCGATCAACTACTGCTGTTGCCATTGATCACCAATAAATACTGCTAGTGCATTTTGAGGTTGTTAAAGGTTGCGGAGCCACGGAGGCAGGACAAAGTAGGGGGTTAGTGTTGCGGATTAAGAGATCGTTGGGAGATTATTTTTTTGGCGGTTGAGTTCGGCAGTTGACCTCGGTTTGACCGAGCTGTCACATTGATCATCATTGTGGGGCCCTCAGGCGACTGAAGGTATCAAGGCTCTCTCCAGTGAGCTTGAGAGCACCCCCCTTGTATCTGAGAGTCCTAAACCATCTTCCTCTATCCTTCCTACTCTAAGTCTGGTCTTGTTCTGAGAGGAAGGCGGCAGGCGGGATTGCAACCCGTGGGTCCGCGTCAAGACTCTGTGGGAAGTCCACCTACCGATTGCGGAAGCTCTGCCGGAACTTAGAAGGAGTTCTGGAGGCAGAGAACCATCAGGTAAACCACTTCATCTGTATAACCCACTCCTACCCATGTTTGCCTATCCCCCTGTAGTATGATTGCGGTATGCATGTGTTGTCCCTATGGTTTTTGCTTTCTCTTCAGGATCTAATATGATTGAATGGAAAGAATGTGTGAGAGTAAAGTTTAAGTTCCATCTTTGTTTTGACTGTAAGTAGACTAAGGATGAACTGGGGGAAGGTGGGAGGAAGGCAGTTTTGCATGCGTTTGGAAGGGTCAACCAAAGCCTGAGCATTGTTTCTATTGTGAATGACTCGGGGCTATGTTTATTTGGCTGTTTTCTACTGTTTATTTAGTTGTTATGTTTATTTAGTTGTTTTCTGGAGGACCAGACATTGTTTCTACTGTGAATGGCCTGGCTACCTTCGTTAACTCTAAGGGTTTGCCTGATTGAAGGGGTTTAAATTCTTATTTATTCGGAGGGAGGATTTTTTGTCTTAGGCTAATCATTGTTTCCATGATGAATATTTCAACTTTAAGACCACGCACATAATTTAAACTAAGTATAAAGGAAAGTACTTTATGTATATTTGCATGTGAACTGGCAGCTGGACATTGTTTCTATTGTGAATGGTCCAACGTTAAGCCATATCATTAAGATTGATAGTCTGGGCAAGCTGAAATATAAAAGAAAGTATAAATGAAAAATAGTCTGGGCAAGCTGAACATTGTTTCTACTGTGAATGGTTTAGTCCCCTGCCCATATTTGCCCTTTCTTTTGAAAACAAAGTCAGAGAAAAACTAAATATTTGGATATTAAACATCTCGGGGCGACTAGGCATTGTTTCCATGGTGAATGACCTAGTCATCTGCCCAAAAGAAAAAAAAAGTAGTTGTGCAATCTGTTCGTGTATATCATAAAGACAAGCTGGGCATTATTTCCATGACGAATGCTTCAGCTCTATGTCTTATGTAAGATGGGTATAACGATTCAAGAACTTGAAAATTAATGAACTATCTATATGGAATGAACTTGGGATGGTGAGAGTACTTACATTCGTAGTTGGTTTGCGGATGACTGGATGGGATGACTAGTTTGTCTTGGGTTTCAGTTTTATAGGTAGTTGCTTTAGTTGCTCGCCACGTTCTAAAGCCATAGGAGTTAGTGTCAATTCCTGCATTTTCTGTAGTAACTTTTTTTACTTAGGTCAATTCCTGCATTTTCTGAGATTTTTTCTTATACTTGGCTTTGTATAAATCTTGGCAAGCTACTTTTCCTACGGGAAGCATTGCCAAAATTTCTACAAATCCAAGAAGTTGGTTAACTTTTGACTTGTCAGAGTTCAACTTGTCTTTTCCATATATGGCTTAGTATAAATCAGGAAAGTCTTTTTTCTAGAGGGAGTGCTGCCCAAATTTCTACTAAATCAGGGAGTTAGACAAAAAATAGACTTTGAGAATTCAAAGTTATTCTCAAATTCTGGACCTTGGTGTGTATAAATTTTGGGAGAGCATTTTTCTAGAGGAAGTGCTGCCCAAATTTCTATAAAATTAAGGAGTTAGTTAGATTCAGTCTAAAGTTGAGCTCGAGCTGTTGTTCGAGTTCATATATGACTTAATATAAATCTGCGAAGTCTCCCCTTCTAAAGGGAGTGCTGCCCAAATTTCTACTAATTTAGACAGTTAGACAGAATTTGACTTTCCAGAGTTAGAGATTATGTCTGCTTTCATATCAGAATTAGTATAAATCTGGGAAGTTTCCCCTTGTAAAGGGAGTGTTGTCCAAATTTTTACTAATTCAGAGAGTTAGACAAAATTTGACTTTCCAAAGTTAAAGATTATGTCCGCTTTCATATCCGACTTAGTATAAATCTGAGAAGTCTCCCTTTCTAAAGGGAGTGCTGTCCAAATTTATACTAATTCAGAGAGTTAGACATAATTTGACTTTCCACAGTTAGAGATTATATCTGCTTTCATATCTGACTAAGTATAAATCTGAGAAGTCTCCCTTTCGAAAGGGAGTGTTGCCAAAATTTCTACTAATTCAGAAAGTTGGACAAAATTTGACTTTTAGAATTAGAGATTATTTCTGCGTTCATACTTGAGCTTATATAAATTCTAGAAAAACACTTTTCCTACGGGAAGCGTTGCCAAAATTTACTTAGTTTAGAGGAGATAGGCTATATTTTGACCGGTGGTGATTTAGGCGATCCGCCCGGAACAGAGGAGATTCCGTAGTTGGTCTACCTTTAGCTTAAGCACTAACTTAAAAGTAGACTTAAGTTTAACTTATAGGGARATTTTGAGTAAGGATGTATTATGGAGTTGTATTCTCCATACACTTATGATCTTMGATTGGGGATTGATCTGTTGTGTGTTACAGGTCTTTTGATCATTTGATCTAAGTTCAAGGCTARATCCAACTTTGATCCCTTGAGGATCACTTTCTGATATCACTGATAACAGGTCGGTTGCCGATTCGTCGGTCCACGACTCAATTTCAACTCTYCCTCCTCRCTCAACCTWAAAGKCTTTARCCCTGGTRAATTTTATTGTTTCATTATGGTTTCACCCGGGCTTTTATTGGATGACCATTTAACAAAGGTACYGAGTATTTAATTAAGGTTGGTTGGACARGAGGTTTGGGGCTGCATGGCTAAAGCGAGGGGTATGAGTGTCGAAGGTGGTTGGGGTTGACTCCGTGTAGTGTGTGGGCTGTTGATTTGGTTTGTTGATGTGATTGCAGGCATGTGCTGTGAATCATATTCTGGACTTGGTTGCCTACGATCACATATATACGTACTATTGTGAGAGACCCCAATGAGAGCGTGAGAAGTGATCATCACATACTTAACCCTTATATATATATACATGGGTATACTTGGGATGAATGTTTGCATGGGTTGAAGGGTCCCCATACTAAAATCCTACTCAGAAGTCGAGACGAGGGGCCTAGGGGAGGGTCCCCCTTCTATTTTTTTTTTGTTCTGGTTTCTTGATGATTTTCTTAGTCAGACGTTTGGTCCTGGGCCGGGATTCGAGGTCCTTGTCCAGGACACCCCAAGCCCTAGGCTCTGCAGGGGAGGGGTTTTCCCTCGCGCAGAGCCTATTTGATTCGCCTACCGAGACACCCAGGCCGAGAGCCGGAGGTGTCGCGGCGGCTGCACGGTTAATCCTTCAGCCGTGCAATGTCGTGAAGGGTTAGGCCCTCACGACACTTCGAGTCTGACACTTGAGTGTCATAAGCGGTACTCGGATCCACGAGGGACCGCTTGATCATGGGCACCACATAGTACGCCGTCATTGCGACTGCTTGCGTACGCTTGCATTGCGGTTTTAGTCGGAGCATTGTCGCGTTGTTTATGTTGAGTCGTTTCGTACGTGTGCGTGTGTATGTTTTATTTTTGTGTTCGTAACGTGGTGTGCGCGTGGTGTGTGGGATGCGTCCTAGTCGACCGACGACGAGCCGCGCGTGGGACTTCAGCCCCCCATGATGCCGGTTCGCGTGCGGGTCCGATATAGGCGTATTAATGCGAGTACCCCCTATGCTACAGCGATGAGAAAACGCCCTCGACTGGTCCACCTCTGCGATTGCAACTGATTAACTTTCATACTGTGGACTGGTAGCTCGGCGGGGATACGCCCACCGAAGGGAGGTGACAGCTCCCGTAAGGTGTAGGTAAGTCATGCCTCGCGTAGGCCCTAAGATGTGTATAAGAGACAGCCCGTAAGGTGTAGGTAAGTCATGCCTCGCGTAGGCCCTATCCTGTCGTAGGGGCTCGCGGGAGGTATGGCTGGCGCACTCGGCCGGAGCGGGTTGTGGAAGCTCCATGTATATTGCGACGAAGGGTTATAAACCAACTCCTGCGTGACGCGGCCGGGAGGGTCCCCGCTGCCCTGATGCGGTGCCGGACCGATGCGCCCGACAGGAGGCGCCGTTACCGGGGATAACGGAAAACCTGCCGTTGTCCCTTGTGAAACGACATTCGGGTATGAGAAGTGAGTGAGAAAAGGCATAAAGGAAAAACGAGAAAGTGAGAAAAAGTAATGAGTGACTGAGTATAGGTAAGAAAGTTTACCTACGTGAGCTAGGAGAAGTATGATAGGTCGACCGTGTTAATGTTGGGTAAAAGTATGTAGTAAGAGTTAGGTAAAGCAGGTGGAATAGATTAGTCAAGATATAATGTTGAATAAGGGGATGTGCTTGTTTTTTCTCTCATCAGGGAGCTTGAAAAGAAGAGGCTATCAAGATGCCTGAGACTGGCGGCGCATCGGGTGCTCCCAAGAAAGGCGTGACGCTCGATGACCTTATCGCGGCTATTGACAGGCATGAAAGAAATCCGAGCAATATCCCCAAGGTCGATACCTTTCATTTTTGTGGGGAGAGAGTCTCAGAATGGCTGGAGCGGGTGGAACAAGCGCTGGTCGGGCGGTCGGATGTTGTAAAATTTCAGCGCATTCTCCAGTACGTTCTCCACAGCTACCACCAAGAAGTGAAGAAAGTTATAGATGCAGCCCAAGGTAGCTGGGAAAGATTCAAGGAGGGAATGTAGAGGAGGTACCGCCTGGAAGATGGACTGTTGACCACTGCGGACCTCGAGGCAATGAACAAAGAGGATTTTACGATAATAGGGGTCTTTGTTCAAGAATTTAAGAAGAGGGCGCAGAAGGTCCATTGGATTTCGGAGGAAGCACAGTGCGCCATCTTCCTAGGGCTACTCACAGCGTCGAAAGTCGTCGAATTGACGAGACATGGAGGGGGTAGCACCAAGCTCACCTGAGCCACCGTTGACAGAGGGGTGGAAGTTAGGTGTTTGGACCAGGTGGAGCAACGTCAGGTACGCCTGCAAAGGCAGAAAAGAAAGGAAAGAGATGCAACCGCTTCTGGGACCCCGGGAGTAACAAGGATTGTTACAGACGTATTGACATAGTTGGGGTATGCGACAGAGCCGGTGGTGCAAAGGAGGGTAGTGACGACTGTCAAAATGAAAGGAAAAAAGCCGGTGATAGAAGAGGCCGTAGGGGAAGAACTCTGGGAAGAGGAAGAGCCGGTGCCACAACACCTGACAAAGGCCCAATGCAAAATGCGTAACTTGGCGCAGGGTGGACAGGGATCAGGAAAAGCGCAGGCGCCTCAGACCCAGGCAGCAGCCCCTTTTAATATGGCGGCTCCATCATCTAGTACGGGCCCCTCGCAAGGTGGGGCGCCCTCCTATGGACAGTGGCCCTGGCCGGTGATCAATGCAATTGTGCCATGGGGAAGCCCGCCGCCAGTAGCCGGACCGCAAACAAGTATGCCACCACCCATCTACCCCGCAGCCCAGGCCCAGCCTGTGGCCCCGCCCCCGTCACCTGCTCCCAGTTCACAGGGCAGTGTGGCAGGAGGTGGGAACCAGGGGCAAGGCAATCAAGGCAACGGAGGGAGGGGTGGAGGAAGGGGGCGAGGCAGGAATGGCGGCGGAAGAGGAAGGCAATGGAATGGTCAAGGCCAGGGGTACCAAGGCCAAGGGGGTCAAGGCCGGAATGGTCAAGGCCAGGGGTACCAAGGCCAAGGGGGTCAAGTCCAAGGGTACCAAGGCCAAGGGAGCCAAGGCCAGGGGTACCAAGGCCAGGGGTACCAAGGCCAAGGGAGCCAAGGCCAGAGGTACTAAGGCCAGGGGTACCAAGGCCAGGGGTATTAAGGCTAGGGGAATCAGGGAAGTCAGGGGTATGGAAGACCCCGTTTTGACTGGAGGACGACCATCTGTCAACATTGTGACCAGCAAGGCCACACTATAAGGTTCTGTAATGTAAGACGGGAAGACGAGAGAAGCGGACTGATTTCCTCCACTATGGATGATAATATCTACGATCAGTTTGGGGAGGCCATTGACAGAAGGCTTGGAGGAGTGAGGGCTGAAGCCCAACGAAGAGCGGCAGCTGGGCCGCCACCCCCTGCCATGTTCAGGCTATGGCMGGARAAGGAAGGACCATCGGTGRAGATAGAGGAATTCAGGTTATGGCAGGAAAAGRGGGAACCACCGATTGGGGTGGAGGAAGTGGGGAGCGATGAGGAAGTGACTCAAGAGCTACGAGGAGGAAGTAAGAAGGAAGAACCCATAATCACTGAGTCAGATGACGAGAATGAGGAGGAAAGGATGAAGCCTCCGTCTGTCTTATTTGGGAAGATGGAGGACCTGCTGGATAAGATGGGGAGGTACCAACAGAAGTTGGTGGGCCTCTGTGAGGAAGCGAAGAGATAGAGGTCTAACATCCCCAAGGTGTTCCTCTATGACTTCGGCCTGAAGTCAGTGCCTGGGCGACCCAGAGTAAATGTGGTGGGGACCCCTCACTCCGCAGGCCCGGTTGGCACAGGCAGCGCGAACGAGGAATCAAGCCAAGGCCAGTGCCAGCCAAGAACCTCCAAGGAGGGAACCCGAAGCAGGGAAAAGGAAAGAGGCCTTGGAAGTAGAGGATGACGACAATGAGGAGGAAGAGGACGAGAGGCTGCGCAGGGAGGAGGATCAGAGAGCGGAGCAGTGGGCAAGGAAAAAAGGAACCAGGGGAGAGGCCGAACCGGTCATACGTGACGGACCACCAAAAAAGAAGAAGTACGCGGTTCGATTGGAAGAGGGATTTGACATAGAGAGAGTAATTGAGAGGCTGCTGGAAGGGCATAATGACCTCATGACCCTGAAGGAAATCCTAGCGTCAGCCCCGCGACTCCGCAATGAACTGAAGGGGAGATTGTTGCGGCGCCTGGTGCCCAATGTCCATCTGGGTACGATCCTGCCCAAGGAGGCAGAGTGGGCGGAGTCAGGTACGAAGATGAACTGGAAGTGCGTAGCCTGCGGCACTGTGAATTTGGTGGTGAAGGGTTCCAAGTGCGCAGCAATGGTGGACACCGGGGCGGAGATGAACATTATTCGGGAGGCGGACGCGATGAGATTCGGGCTGGATATAGTTCGTTCTGACTGCGGTATTCTGCATGGAGCCAGCTGTAAGGCCGTGTTTTGCGGGACAACCTCGAATGTGCTCATCGAGGTTGGAAAGCTAAGGGCCAGGGCATGCTTCTCCATAATGTCAGATGTGGACCATGGAATCCTCCTGGGGAGGTCATTCCTAAGCAGGACGGAGACCGTGATGTTCAACAAACATGACGAGACTCTAATCCTTCTCTTATGCGATCTTGCCTGCGGGAATTACGAGATAATTACCTGCAGGAACACAAGGCCAAGAAGTATAAGGAACCGGCCCAATCCAGGATCATTCACGATTGAAGAATCGAAAGGTGAGCGCCGGAGGCTCCAGGCAGAGCCCGAAGCAGGAGAGAGGGTGGAAGCATTTTCCCTCAGCCTGTCAGATGTTGGGAAGGCAATGGACCTGGTGGCCGCGCATGAGATGGCAGACCCGGATGCCATCCAGGCCTTGAGGGAGCAAGTTCTGGAATGCCCCGAGACAGGAAGGTTGGAGTTGGTATATCGGCTCCCAGGCAGCGGAGGGCACCCCGCATCAGCACAAACACAATCTGTGAGTCGGCCTTTTTTAGGGGACGGCTCAAGCAGGGTTCCCAAAGGCGGTACAAGACGGTAGACAAGAAGTGCCGCCTGGTTCCCGTCCTCGTTACAGAAGACGAGGAAGCATATTACGAGAGGGAACGAGGGTTGATACGACGAATGAGGGAAAATGCTTTAGCAGGGCTATGTCGTATCAACGAAGGGAACGAGGAGGAGTTGATCATAGGGGAACCTGACTTCCTGCTGCCTCAGGAGCGAACGTTGATGGTGGAACTAATGAAGAGGAGGCATCGCGCCTATGCGTTTAGCGACGAGGAGCGTGGCAGGCTGGATGAAGACAAAATACCTATGATCCGCATCCACACCGTGCCACACGAGCCTTGGAACATGAGAGGGGCGCGATATCCTAATCCTGACGAGGAAAAGAAGGTGGTGGACTACCTCGATGATAAGATAAGTACACACGTCGCTGACTATTCTAGTGGACCGTATATGTCCCCGTGGTTTTGCTTCATTAAGCCTAACGGGACGCTGCGATGGGTGCAAAATGTGCAGAGGTTAAATGCGGTGACCGTGCGGGATGCTGGAGGACTGCCAAATGCGGATGCTTTGTCGGAATCCTATGTTGGAAGACCTATAATTTCGCTTATAGACCTTTACTCAGGATATGATCAGTTTCCGGTCTACCCGCCGGATAGGCCAGTGACGGCTATGCACACGCCGCGAGGATTAATCCACATGAACGTGGCCCCTGAAGGGTGGACCAATGCGGTAGCAATGGTCCAACGGACCATGATTCGGGTTATGCAGGCAGTCAACCCCCATATCACACAGCCATACATCGACGATTTGGAAGTGAAGGGGCCGGCAGTGAAGGAGAGCGACGAAGTCTCGCCAGGGGTAAGGCGCTTTGTTTGGGAGCATATCCAGGACCTCAAAAAAGTCCTGAGTCTGCTCGAGGAGCATAACCTCACGGCAAGCGGGGCCAAATCCAGACACTGCATGAGGGAAGTGACCATTTTGGGATTCGTCTGCAGTGAGAAGGGCCGAAGGCCGGATGTGAAGAAGACGGACAAGATTACTGAGTAGTCAGTTCCATTCCACTCAATAACTGATGTCAGAAGCTTCCCTGGTACGTGTGGATTTTGGAGGGCCTTCGTCAAGAACTTTGCCGCTAAGACTGAACACCAGAGGAAGTTAGTACGTTAGGATCAGGAATGGGTATGGGGTGAAGAGCAGGAAGAGGTGGTGGCCAGAATGAAGGAGGAATTTCGAGAAGGAGGGTTGGTGTTAGGAGCGCCAGATTATGATGCCACAGAAACACGACCCTTCATTGTCGAAACAGATGCGGGGCCAACTGCCTTAGGAGTTCTAATCCAGGCAGACGTAGAGGGAAAGGAAAGACCCCTGATATTTGAGAGTCGGACTCTCTGTACGACCGAGAGGAACTACTCTCGGTTCAAGAGGAAGACCCTTGCCGTCCTCCACTGCCTGCGAATCTTCCGGAACTACATCTTCGGCAGAAGGTTTATTTTGAGAGTGGATCCGACCGTCCTGGCCTACTCTCTTAGGAATTACGTTCCATCGGATCCGACGGTTGCCTGATGGCTGACGTACATCTAGATGTTCAATTTCGAATTGGAACGGATGCCTGGTAGTAAGAACTGGGCGGACGGGTTGAGTCGGATCAACTGGGATAAACAGGAAGGGGAGGCGGTGGAAAATACGCCCCCTGTTGATGGATTTCTGGATCAAGAAGAAGATGTTCGTCTCCACATCAACAAGTGGTCGCCGTGAGTGCCCAGCTGTGTAGGCTATCCTATCTGGCAAGCGCCAAGTGGATATGAACGGAGGGATGAGTGAGTCCTTAAGCCCTTTGAGGAAGGGTGTTCAGTGGATGGAGTTAGCGCTGGCCAGCTCGCATAGCCTGGTGGAGTACGTGAGGGCGATTGAGGAAGGACCTGGCCAAACAGAACGGCATGAGGACCTGATGGGAGGAATGTATCTCCTCGTCAACAAGTTATTGAAGGAAGGCCTCGACCAGTCAGGCTCGTTGAACCCGGCAGAGAATGTGGACGAAGTGCCCGAGAGCCAGGACAACGAGTTCGAGGAGGGGGAGATTAAGGAGGTTTTTCGTGCAGAGGAGTACGATGGGATCTACCTAGAGATGGGGCTTCTTCTGTCATGTGAAGCCTAGGGATGCAAGCGATAGAGCTCAGAGGATGCTGTAGCGCTATTTAGTGCGAGACGACCACCTTTTCGTGATAAGAGAAGTGGAAAATCCCAGGAGAGTCGTCTGCGGTAGGAATCGTCAGATCGACGTCGTAACAACGCTTCATGATGACATTGCAGGAGGGCATCGAGGGGTACAAGCCACGTATGCCAAGATAAGTGAGTTGTATTACTGAGATGGGATGATGAACATGGTCGGGAAGTTCTGCCGATCTTGCATACCCTGCCAGGAGAGATCCCGACCGTTGCATCCAAGGCTAGAGCGAGAGGTGGGGGCTGTAGTGCATCTCGATCTACTTTTTATGCCGCTTGGGGATCAAGGCTATAACTATATCTTCAATGCACGCGATAACCTATCTGGCTTCGTAGACAGGCGTGCTATTCGCACCAAGACCGGATTAGTCTTAGTGAGCTGCATCGAGGAATATAACTTGCGTTATCCTTTCGTCAGGGAATTCGTAATGGACAGGGGATCAGAGTTTACCTGCCAGGAGGTGCAAGAACTGTTATCAAGGTATGGTGTGGTAGCCAACTACACCACGGCTGCGCACCCCCAGGCAAATGCTTCCGTGGAGAGAGGACATAGTACCATTACGAGTCTCCTGGCTAAGTGGACCAAAGGTAGGCCTAATCAATGGCCAAGGTACCTAAGGGCGGCGTTTTTTGTCGAGAACATTACAGTAAAAAGATCCACCAAGTACGCACCTGCGACGCTGTGGTACGGAAGGCACGCCACCTTCCCTATCGAAAACTTTCTTAAGACATGGAGGCACCAGGATCTGGAAGTTAACCTGCCATTTGAAGAATTGCTTGATATCCGGGCACGGCAGATTGGGGCGATAGAAGAAAGGATCCAGGAGGCGTCTGATCAGGTGGCGAGAAACCGTATGGATGATAAGGCTCGATGGGATCAGTCTGCGCGGGTGAGGAAAGTACCCTTGGCGGTTGGGGATGTCGTGCTTCTCTACGATTCATCGCTGGAAAAACAGTGGTCCAGGAAACTCGATAAGAGGAGGTTAGGTCCCTACCCGATCGCACGGGTCAAGGACTTCGGAGCATACCAGATTGAGGAGTAAAATGAGACTGAGTGGAAGGATTGGGTGTCTGGAACACGATTGAAGACATTTGTGGCGAGAGAAGAGGTAAGAGAGATGACCTGACTGCCTTTAGTATAGAAGTAGCAGGGTGTGTAGGTTAGGGATGGATGCATGCTGTATGAGTGTGGTCTGGTCAGGGCTTGCTTTGATTATCACTTGTTTGCTTACCCCAATGTATGTCTATTGTCTCCTTCACTTGTTGTGAGGTCTGACTTTACGAAGACAGCCATGCCAAGAGAAGGGAAGGGGACACGACCGCCTCGGAGGCCGTTGGGGGCATCAGGAGGATATGAGCGGCATGGGCCTCGCCATCGAGAGAGTACCCCGGTGTACAATGATGGGGACATCGAGCTATTCCTGGACAGTTTCTGGGAGCATGCGAGGCGTATGACCTGGACCGTAGCCCAGGCAATCGAGAGACTGAGGGGGATAGGCAGGTTCGAGGAGCCCATTGCCAGGATTCGTAGGGAGGCGACGACGAGGCAAGAGGTGGAGATGAGGATGGAGGAGTTGCGACCCTCGCCTGTGGGACCAGATGGCAGGCCGATCCGTCTAGAGATCGAAAATGTGGCAGACTTTATCCCTGCTTTCGAGTGGTTCATGCAGGGGCAGGGTATACCGAGAGATGAGTTGGCGAGGACGTTACCCCTCTGGACCAGAAAGGCGGAGAGGGCACTGGCTACGCAGGTCAGGGACGTGGCCCGGGACTGGGAGAGTTGCAGGGCGCATCTGAGAGAGGCCTTTCGACGGCCAGAGCTCCCTCAGCCCAGAGTCGAAAGGCGTCAGAGGAGTCAGAGGCAGAGGGACCCTGAGCCCAGGGAGGCAAGACCGTCTCAAGGAGGACGGAAGACCCTAGCCAGGAGAGAGGAGGAACCGGCCGGAGCCAGACGCTGAGGAGCGAGGGGCATACCCTGAGTGTGGGTTGGGACCAGTGGAGTTCCATCGGTTTACCGATGGTGGATTGAGGAGGTCGCCAGCACGCGCACAGGAGGAGCCGCCAACATCTGAGGGGCCCTTGAGGGAATTGGAGACGCATTTGGATATCTCTCAGTGGAGGACATCGCCTCGGGGTGAGGAGCATGGAGAGCAGGCGCAAGAGGTACCACAGGAGGAGGTACCACGTGAGGAGGTGCCACGAGAGGAGGTGCCACGGAAGGAGGTCCAGGATACTCAGCGAGAGAGAGAGTTGGGCGATGAGGGGAGGCGTGCAGGGAAGGAAGTGATAGAGGTTAGAGAGGACACGCCCCCACAGACGCCAGCGGTGGGTTTGAGACTCGGGGATGCACCGGGGAGCACTCGCCAGGCAAGGGAGAGATTGCAGAGAGAGGGGGCCCCATTGCCTTCACCAGAAAAGGCCCCTTCGCCAGAAGGGAGAGCAGAAAAGAGGAAATTGAGGAGCAGCCCATGGCAGTGCCAGGAGAGACACTCGAGAGGAGACCTCAGAGGTTGGACACTTCTGAGCACGTCCCAGCGACAGGGGATTTGAGGAGCAGACTGGGATCTTAGGCTACTGGATCTGGGTCTGGGGGACCAGCTCCTGGGATAGAGCAGCAGGAGGTCGTTAGTACCGCAACTCCTCGATCAGAGAAGCAGGGGGTTGTCAGTACTTTGGAAGGATCTCCCTCATCGCCACCTCCTCAGCCAAAGAAGAAAAAGTTCAAGAGGAAGGTTGATCAGCTATGCTTCTATTGCAAGAAGGGCGTGCATCTGGGTTTTGACTGTCTCGAGTTCCTTGAGGATAAGGCAGAAGGGAAGGTCTCAGAGGCAGGGGGTAAGATGTATGATAGGCAGGGTAGGATAGTAGAGAAGTCCGCAGATGGACTTAGGGCTCAGTTATATAGGCAAAATCAGGAGGAGTTGAGGAGGTAGGGCCGGTTTGTCTATGTAAGTGGGCGAGTATCTTGTGAGGCATCAACTTAGGTTCTGTGTGATACCCTCTTAGACATAGAGGACCTTTATGATGATTGTTACTAGTCTAGGGTAATTTAGATGAGGCATGTACATATTTAGGTGGCCTACACACAGGCTTTGAGAGACAGATCTGACATGTATTCTAGGGGTTGTTGTTAGTATGGGTTTGGTGTGGCTTGAGTTGAGTGAGCTATGATTTGGAGACACTTTCTGGGTGAGACATTTTATTCCCTGAGTGTATATTATGATGAGGTTTTATTTCAGGGACCATTCTTATATGTCTCGATCACTTGTCTCTCTTACATGTGTGGTTGTGCTCTAATATATGGTGGGTTTGTGTAGACAGTGTGTGAAAAACATCTTATTTAGCCATGGGTACTATGAATATGATCGTAAGCAAAACTGTCTACTCCTCGGTATACTTGTGCGACCTGCCCACGGGCAATTGATAGGGCAAAGTATAAGGGGAGGAAGCGCAGCCCGTTTGTGAAAGGTTGTGAGGATTTTGAAGGTTTATGAGCCCTGAAGGCTCAAAATGCTTACCATGTTGATTGTTGGTTACTTAAGTTGTGATGAGGACCCATAAGATGGTCTCTCAGTGATCTTGTTTATGATAAGCGCTCTTGGATTTTGTGATGTTGTGTGTTATGATGAGACCCCCTCGAGTTTTGAGAAGGGGAGGCTTGGTTTTATGGCGAGACCCCTCGTGATTCCTGGTAGAGGGGGTGCTTTGTTCAGTGGCGAGACCCCTCGTGATTTTTGGAAGAGGGGGTGTTTTGTTTATGACGAAAGCCCCTTGAATTTTTGAAAAAGGGGATGTTTTTGTTGTTGGGAGACTCACCTTCAAAGGTGAGTAAGCTGATTTATGACATGGTAAGATGTCTGATGAGTGATAAAGTCTGACGAAAAGGGTCATTTTTTGGAATGTTTGAGAAAGTCGCAATGAGTGCGTGGGCGAGAGATGTCTCAGGGTGGGTGGCTGCTGACTCTGATCAAGTCAGGGGTCACGGCCTGGTGGATTTAGCGGTGATTTTGT